TTTGTGTTTCTCAATTTTGTCTCTTTTTCAAACGTCCATCCTTTGGGCTTCTTCTTCCACATTATATAACATTCTCTTTTCTTATCTCCACTCATTCTATGTGAATCATTGTTTTGTGATCTTGCTTACACATACTGCAGAGTACATCTGATTAGATTTTTTTTAGGTACTGGTTATCTAATTAATACCAAATATTTGCTTGATTTGTATTGTGCATGCTTTTTCATATTGCATTTTTTTTGCATTAGCAACCATTTAGCCCTTAAAGAAAAGAATTATTGAAGTAGAGAATTGATGAAAAACATTTACATGAAAATCAATGTAGTTTCTTTTTTGTATATTAGCTTGCTATGAATCATCAAATCAAGCCTTCTTATTATTCGTTGACCTACGTATATAATTCACGAGCTAAAATGATTATACGTAAGGCGAGTGACAAACGACAAATGGGATAATTCAACAATAGAAGCTAGATCACTTAAAACATTATAGAAGTTGGTCAAATGAATCGGTTCGCAATCTGGATCGCACACGCACATTCAAACAGTCTAATATACTTAAGAGAGGACCTATTATAATAGAAAAAAGAAAGCATGATGAATATGGCAAGTCATCAACAAAACGAGTAATTTGAGCCCAAATCATCCCGACTGTCAATGAAGTTACTTAAACAACCTCTAATTGCAAAAGGAACTGCATGAACGCGTTCGGAACGTCACGTTTACCACTAGATACACAACCCAACTACAAAAACAGACATAAGGCATTTCGCTAGAAGGCTTTAGGCAAAATCTTGCACGTTCACCACCGAATCTACACCATTTTTGTAGTAACAAATAGGTGAACTTTAGAGCCATAAAATGAAATCTTGCATAGTTCAATTTTCACATTCCCCAATACTATTAGTGTCGAGCAGACCACCTTGAAGAATGTTAAATGCTTTAAAATTTATGCATGAGCTTATTGATGTCAAGTCAAGCATACCACCTTAAAAAATATCAAATGCCTCAAAGTCCATGTGAGTAGATCATATAAATAAACTAAGAATCACATTCTATAAGTATTAAACACTCGCATGTGCTCCGACCAATTTGTTAAATATTTATACACGTGGTCTGAAAGTAATGAAAGAGAAACAGACTACCTTGACTATAGGGCGATGTCATAAGTCTTACTTTAGCTAATTCGATCCTCATCCCTACAGAAACCAAAATTAACAAGATTGAGCAGCCCACACTAAGCTAGTATGATCCTTCTCCTAATAAAAACTATGTTTGACAAGATTGAGCTTCTACCATGTTAGTCTGATCATCCTCCTCACGAGACTAAAGTCAATTGAACTAATACTTCTAATGATATTTAAATAACAGCTTATCCCCGATGATGGGAACATTCATTATACATCTCAACTAGAGGAAATCATTCACAAGATAAAATTTTCAAATGATAAAATCTAAAAACATTTAAATGAATTCGATCACTTAATGCTTAAAGCAAAATCTATCCTCCCACTGCAACCGTTTGCAGGGGTTGACAAACATAATGTTAACTCAATCTCATAAAAAAACCAATGGCATATTCAGTATACTATTAAATTCAAACTCAAAATTATTTTGTGCCAGAAAGGATGCGGTCCAAATTCTCTGTGTCATTTGGCAAATAGACTTCATAAAAAAAACAGTTACGACTAGAGCCCTCTAACCGGATGGTTTGACTAGTAGGCTCCATCAAGTGGTTTGGCCGGTATACTCCACTCAAAAATGGTCGCGACTATAGCCCATATGTTTCCGAATGATTTTTCCCTTTGAGTTGTGAATCATAGGGCATATTTGATAGGAAAAAAAGCACTATGCTAACTAAAGTCAACTTAGATTAGTCCCCTTAGATAAACATTCACCCCAGTTGTACAAGGTTCCCTTGGATGAAACAATCCATGACTGCTAACAAGGATTTTCCTATTAAGTTGGGTTGACTATCTCCTCTGACTAAGTAGACCAGAGACAATGACATCCTGCGATGATGGAATCATGGGATCTCGATCGGGTTTGTCATCAATTCCACACCATCAACTTTTAAGGTAATGATGATAACTTTATGATTTTAGATTTGTTGGTGCTATAGTTAAGTTTGAATGCTTAGTGAATGACTAGCCTTAATCAAAAGTGTTCTCCTATCATCGGGAGGGATAATTAACCATAAAAAGCTTGCAACTATGGGAAACCTTGAACCCTAGATTTTAAGGTCCTTGTAAAATGAGGGTGAAATCTCTGGGTAATGTCTTATCTACTATCTCATCCGCCTTCTAAAAATTTGACCCATAACCTCACAACAAACTCCTTCACTCTTATTTTCTTTTCTTTCATTTCGAGGGAGGCCAGGGCGTTCGAATTTGCAGAGTCCACATTATTATGACAATAATTAAATTATGAGCTTTTTTATTGCTATAAATTATCATATCATAGTTGCCTTTTTGTATAAATCAATTATATCACATTCGTTGTCAACAATGTTATGTTGAAAGTTGTTTGGCGATGCATTTTTCAAATAATTGATTTCATGCAGTAAATTTGTAACATTAATAATTATATTCAAAATAAAGCAATTAAAGCTTTCTTTATGGCCAGCCATGCATATTTGGTATTTCATATCTCTATCATTTTCTTGGCGGGCCCCAAAACAATTAGTGGGAAAAAAAAATTCAAATAAGGAGAGGTCGGCCAACCATGGATGGAAAGAGAGACTTACACACATGCTGTTTTGCAAACATCAAATTAACGCTCTCAGCTAAAGATAGAAAAAAAAAACCAAAAGGCATTTGCAAATTATCAAAGATTGATTTCTTGAAATCAATCTTATTTGAAAGGATTATTAATGTTTTGAAAAGATTCCAAAGTCCACCAATCTGATGCATGGCTCACAATCACGCATGGAGCAAGAAGAATGGTGTAGCAAATTTAGCAAGAAATAATGCCAATTTAAAATTTATTGGATGGAACGGGATTTAATTGCATTAATTTTAAAGTAATAAATTATATCATAAATTTATTACATGAAATTAATTGTTTAGAAATAAATACAACAGCAAACAATTTCCAACAAAAAATGATGACAACAAATATGATATGAATAATTTATAATAATATAAATAATTTATAATAACAAATATGAAAGCCCACAATATGATAATTTTCATATAATAATCTTGAATCATTCTATGTGTTAATTCATAGCAAGCCATTGTACAATAGAAAATTAAATATATTTACATATTAATGTTCTACAACAGATTGCTTTCATTGCAGATTTCTGTGTTAATATTCTTGAGGTAATATCCTATAAATTGTGGTTTAACAGTTGAACACTTTTTTAATAGGGACAGCCAAGCAAGCTAATCCTATTAAATTTAAAAAATTATGTGAGAAATATATGATACCCATTAAATTAAAAAATGGCTATTACATAGGTAGACAATTGACCTTATTTTAACACTTGGACACTTTCGTATCAGTTTATTGCATCTTGTTCACACTTCGAACACCACAATAATGCAATTTTCTGGTATTTAATTTGTATTTTTAATTGTTAAATTTGTTAGCTCTTTTGAGTCATAGTTAGTGAGTTGGAAATTTTTGAAAGCAAGTTCAAAAGTATCGATCATACAAACTTCCCCACCCCTAAACCTCTTCAATTATAAAAAAAATTATTAGTTAAATGCTTGCGAAACAATAAATTATGGGCATGCACGAGTCTAACTTTAATTCAGGATGAAAAAAAGCATCAATTTAAGCAATTTTATTAACTCCTTCGCAAAAAGTTATTTTCAAGATTAAACCCATGAGCTCTACTTGATTACTAGGATCGGGGTAATCTATCTTCTGCATAAAAACTTGTGTACATTTGCTAAAGAAAGAGCGCACCTTTATCTATTATGGGAGCGGAGCAATGGGATAATAGCCAAACCACCCGGTCAGTTTTTCACTCTTTCTGGTAAATCCCCAACACTCTCCACCCCCCTCACCCCCCCACACCCCCTCTCTACTCTTGGATGGCGTAAAGCGAACATCGACAAGGGCTCTTCTTCCATCTGAGGCTTTGGGTATTGGTGTCATTATACGAGACAAGCAAGGGACAGAGATTCGTGGTGCCAGAGAGCACTTTGAGCATTAGGACAGTGCACAAGTGGAATTTCGAGCAATTCCGACACTACATACCATTTGTGAAAAATGGATGTTCGAGTACAAGAGCATTATTATTGAAGGCGACAACGCAAATATTATGATGTTATTGCAATCCACCATGGAGAAAGGCACTTGGCAAAACTGATCGAGTGAATCCCTGGACATGCCTTTCTTTTAATTTTAAGCAAGTTTTGTTCTTTCTTGCAAGTTATGATTGTAATAGGGCGGCTCATTTTTATGCCAAGCTAGTCCTTGATGGCTTTTCTATTTTGATGCATGTAAATGACAATAGGGAGCTTTCTTCTTTACTTGTAGATGATAGGTGTCATTTTTGTACAAGATGAATGCATACATGCATAATTTTGTAACCTTTTTGATATTTTAATGCAAAATGCAATATTTCAAGAAAGAGCACGCACATCAACACTAGTTGGAGTACTAGATGAGATGCCCTACATAAGGAAATGTAGCATTCTCACCATTAACTGAACAGATGCATTTTCTCTTAGTAGTTAATTAAGAATGAGTTCTCTGTTTTATCTCTCTCAAAAAGGATAACAATATCAACGTGGAAGGCTGCTTTCAGTAGTTTATATTAAATAATTCTCGCTGGCCGTAAGCAATGATATGAACATACCAAATGAAAGAAGGAAGGCTGGAAAATAAGTTTAGCTTAGATTTGAAATTATTTGGATAGATGGGCTGAAGATATGGACTTAATAGCATACTCAATTCAACAACCATCAATAGGAAAACATAGAAATAAGCCAAAATGTAAGCAAATAAAAATATTTCAAAAATGTTAAGAACTGCTCAATATACCTTGACTTTAGCATGGGTGTAGACTGTACGATGAAGGTCAGCACGAGTTGAAAACAATTTATGGATTGTGAGATCTGATTCAAAAGTTTATAAGAAAATGCAGGGATTCAGAAATTAAGGGGTTCGGTATCTGTGAAAGTGCTAACATTCTTTAGCAGGATAGCATATTTCATCATCCATTACACGCATACTTTGCAATAACCTACAAGAAACAACGAAGACAATTACAAATAGTAGCAAGGGCATAACTATTGTATGAAGAAAAAAATATTTTTTCTTCAGCAATCACGATTCATATTAGGTACCAGGCATTTGCTTTGAAACTTTTTAATTCTCAACAGCAGTTGAGTTGAAGGAAACAGTTCCAACAAAACAAAGTTGCCAAATGACAAATAAGTAGGGGTCTAAAATTTGTTCAAAGCTAATATTTAATGATCTTCACCTCTTCTTTTTTTTTACAGAAGTAACATGAAATAATGAAAGTGAAAAAGGCATAATGCATCACAAAAATTCTCCGCACATGAACAAAAACCTGATGTGCCTTTTATAATAGAGAAATGCATTCTATCTTAGAGGACAGTAAAAGTCATGCTAGGAAAGACCAATAGAAAGTAAACACGATCTGCCTATACAGTAATACCGATTTGCTGTTAAATTGAAACAGAAAAACTTTAAACTTGCTATTCAAAAGAATATTGAGGCATTGTGAAAGGATTCGCAACACAAAGATTTGAGAAAGCTATTTCTCTGAGGTGAAAGGTTTGAGCCACATAATTTGTAGATTATTACTCATCACTCAAAATTAAAAAAAAAAAATTAGCACTTCCAGGAAATCACATTTTTTATTATTTGACTTCGCAGTCTACATACTTCATCTAGACTTCCTTAAGAAGTCTATTTATTAAGTCTATTTATTAATATTTAGTAAACTTCAAAATGTGACAGAGGAAAGCATAATGAATCTATAAAAAAAAAACATTCCTAGAGTAATAAAAGTGTTTTCTAGAGTGATCATCAAACTCTAGAGGTTGTTTGGTCGGCAGCAATAAGAGTGCATTGCATTCCAAATAAAAAGAATTTGAAAATTTATTTGTTTTGTTCAGAAGAAATTGGAATTCAATGTAAAATAACATTGTATTTGAAATTCAGCAGTTAGTTCATTTTATCTGAATTTGGAATTCATCTGATTTGGCCGAATCTAGAAAACATAGCTGAATGTAAAATGTAGTATGTCTGCCCTCTACGTTCCATTTTCAACACCCAAGTCTTTTATCTTCCATAAATATGGATGATGAATTGATAAGATGGTAGACATAAATACATATTACATGTTGTGGAAAAAGACAATGCAAAATATATTTAACATATCATATATAGCAACATAACAAAAAGAATGGAGAATCCGCAAACCAACTCCAAATCTTTTATCTTCCATAAATGATAATGATGATTCTATCAGTACTTGGATTTTGCAATAACATGTTTTAAGTAGAAATTTGCACATTAACCAAACCAAAAACTATTGCGTCATGAATTGAATGATATAGTCAAAATGTCAAAATTTAAGGCCCAAAACAAAAAGGGAATTGGTTGGGATGTGTGTGTGTGTGGGGGGGGGGGGGGATGGGGGGGCATCAAATTGACATTGGTTAGTTCAGTATTATAAAGGAAACGGAGACGGAAGAAAGAGCGGAATTGAGCAAAAGAGGTCATGCGGGATAGAAGAAAAAAAAACCACAAATAGGTTCAAGCATGAGAACAACTTGCGAAAACAAAAGCATGAGCTAGGGATGCTACCTAGAGACTGAGCGCATGTGTTGGCATATGAACTCAAAAAGACAAGCAAACTTGCAACATGAGCAACAAGCTATTCGAGCAATGTGAAGGAACAAGTCGTGAGCAATCTAAGGAAATCAAACGAGAGGTGCATTTGGCTCGAGCATGGGTGACGAAAAAGGTTGGAGCAAATCGAATGATAATGAGGTTCAAATCAAATAGATCCTCACAGACAAAATTAAACCAAGAGAACGAAGGAAATCAGGGTAATTTGAGTGGTATTTCATTGAAGCACAAAACTGTGGAGGACTTATACGATCAATGTTAGATTGTTTGAAAACTTTCAATTAATTTGAACTTTATAAGAAAATTGAATTATTATTTAAATATTGTCTTGTTTAGGAACAATTTGTGATACCGGAACTAATCAAACCTGCGATAGTGGAAATAAAATTTTATTAAGCAAATAATTAGCATTACAAACACGACTCAAATTGAAATGAAAACACAACAAGCACCAATCGCCGGCTAGGGCTAGATAAGAGGATCCAATGGCACCAGTGGTGTCAACGAGGTGGTTGAGAGTAGTGATGGTATGGGATGTGGAATAGGTGGGTGGCAGGATGGGGGTTATGGCGGTCGGACGGTAGTTGGGGGAGGGTGGTGTGGGTTGGCGGCTGCCCAAAGAGGTTGGAATTGCAGAGATGTGGACTGCATGTGGGTAGCACTTACAGGGAAGGCAGGTGGCTGGCTGATGGCAAATTCAGTGGATGGAGAGGTGCAGGCCGACCGCTAAGTAGGTAGGGAAGAGAGGGAGGTTGGCGGTTGAGGGTTAGAGAAGGGATGGGGGTGCAGGTTGGCGGCTAAGTAGGATGAGGAAAAAGGAAGGAAGGAAATCAGAGAGGATACAACACCATCTTGGAATAAGATATAACCGGAGCATCACCTATAGTAAGATACAGCCTTAGCTAGGGGAAGAAGACTCCATACAAAATCTAAAATAGAATACACAACAAAACATAACCCTAATTCTGATAAACATACATACAAAATAGAGGAAAAAGGGGGGAAACTAAATAGGAAAGGGGGATGCATTGGGCGACAATTCCAACACCTAAGAAAGTTGGTCGGTTGAGCAGGAGGCTGGACCGGAACCTCCCAAGCCGGCTCAGTTGGGTCCTCTATTAGTCTTTTCAACCGGCCTTCCCCAAAAGCCCTGTGTCAACTAGTCTGCTAAAAGAAGGGAATCTTAGTTTCATATGCATAAATATAGACAAAGATATTTATTAAAATTTCATATTAATTAAGAGCTAAAGAAAAAATGGTATATGACATTATGAAAGATTAGAGCTTGATATATTTAAAACCTAAAATTATTTTAAAATAATAATAACAAATTAAATTAAAATGGACTAAATTTGAAGTATTTTTAGAATACTAGATTGTTAAAAGACAAGTAAAACATAATGATTATGTAATGTATAAACATATATGTTTAAACTTATATAGCAAAATTTATGAATGAAACATAAAAAGTAAATTAATTTTAAGAGACGAGTTTAATCAAAAAAAGAGGGATAAATTTACTAATTAAAGATACATACAAAAAAATCATGACAAAATTACAAAATTTTATGTCTCTAGGCTAATAATCAAAAATTCAAAAATGTTAAACTTAAAGCATAAATGAAGTGTAGAATAGATAAATAAAAAAAAAACATATAAAGTTTGAAAATTTTGTATTTAAATTCTTATAAAAAAAATTAATCAGAAATTAATATATTAATCGTAATTTAGAAATAAAAAGTTTAACTATATATAAATTAATATTTTTAATAGGCACCCAAATTAAAGGTGATAAATACTAAATAGTAAAAAGAGGTCCTAGATTAAATCTCTTAAAGTGGCGATAAGTAATCATTTTCTAATCTATCTAATACTATTGATTCATCTAAACTAAATGCATAAAATAATTATAATACTTGTTTAAATAGATTGCCAATGCAAGTTTATACCTAATTTACTTGTTTTAGTGAGTTATTTGGTCATATTGAAATTTATGGCAAAAATTTTCTCAGCATGCAAAATTTATTTATTATGTACTAATTATTATAAAACTATATTAAATAACATGAAAATATAAATGAAATAAACTATATAGAATGTTTGCATATATATGTTGATTGATGGAGTTTACCCTCTTGTAATATTAACCGGGGACACTAATGTACTCGTACAATAAAATTTTTTACAAAAATTAATTTTGAAGTACATTAAATGACATGTTTATATAATACACTTAAGATGAAAATAAATGATATAGATGAGATGGGTATCGTTCAGCATAATAAAATGTTTTGAAACTTCTTGGATGATTATTTTTTAATATATAAATTATCAAATGATTCTATATTAATTCGCTGCATTTGACAAGCATGCATACTGGTTTTTATACTCTTTATATTACTATAAGTTTAGAAATATGAGTATTTACTAAGTTGATTAATTCATGGTGAATTAAATTAACATTTCAAGTTTAAGTCTTGGATCAAAAAATGAGTGAAAAAATAATTATTTACAGAAGATACAATAAAGCAAGAGAAAAGTAATCCTATTCACAATTGTTTTATATTTTTTCAAGAGCTGAAGTTTATTCATTAATGACTTTTAATTTATTGAATGATTCTCATAGAAATAAAAATCTGAATTTTCCATCCAATAATTCATTTGAGCCTAAGATATTCCAAGTCCCCAAACCGGGTCGTAATATAAATTTCTTAACTAACCAAGTAAACTTATTTAGTTTATTTAAAAATAATTTGATCAAAATCAATAAATCTATGATTTTGAAGAAAGTAGAGAACATACGAATGTTGGTGTTGTCATTTGAGAATAAATGAATAGGAAGCCAGATTTGGCAAATCACCATCAAGATTTGGCATTATTTGCATGGAAAGTCATTAATGAGGGAAAAAAAATTTAAGAGCTCATTAAAAATATTAAAAGAATCCTTGAATAAGAATTATAATCTGAATAAGTTGTTAATTATGTTTGCGCTTTTAAGTTTAAAATAAGAAAAAAAATTCAAATATTCAAGAACCAAAAAATCCATATAGTAGTCATGGTTTATATGTTTTTCATCCAAATTCTGTCAGCAAATTTTAAGAATGTCATGGCCCAAAGCATGCATGACTAATAAAACCAAATTGTAAAAGCCTAAAATATTGAAATAATTGTGAATTCATGAATAATCAGCACATACCTCCTGAATTGAAAATTGCAGCCAAGACCACATGCCCGACAATCACGAGCGATATAATCAAACCTAAATATCAATTAAAATCCCCAAAATATAAAGTCATGCTGTATTCAATGGAAGAATATTCAAGAAAATTAAATTATAACCATCATATACTTGTCAACATCAATTCCATTGCGTCCATTAGCAACAATGTCATAGAGAAAACGTTTTTCTTTCATGCCCTACAAATCAGCACATTTTCAAGCAATTAGGTTTTGTAAATAAAGATGATAATTTATTTTTCAGGTAGATATTGAATTTCAAATATGGAATATAAAATTAAATAGCACACCAAGATGCCAGTGTTCTTACATTTGCTACTGAAACATTCGAACTAGCAATTATCATATCCTGCTAAGAGGAAAAATAATATAGTAAGTGATGAATCCAAGTTTAAATTTTAACAGTGGTAGAAATTTCCTCAGCGTAACACATCATAGTGAAATCTGACATTAATGAGTAGTAAGCAAGAGTTTGCTAGATCGTCACCAGTCAGCAACGCACTACAACTTAACTCACATGCCATGAAAAATAAGCAAGTGTTGACTAGGATATTACTCAAAAGTGATGCACCATAACTTGTGCCAATTCTAGTGGAAAATATCTAAGGTTGGCTACTAACTAAAATAAGATTTGATATGTAGACTTTGAGACAATTGAATGTAAGACAAGAATTGATGGACATAACAATACCAGAAACAATATATTATTTGTTTGCATAAATTAAATGGAAAAAATAAGAAGTAAAAATTATTGGTAAAGATTATAAGTTATTGTAAGTTAAAAAGGTTACCAATAAAAATAAAATTAAAATTATTGAGACGTGAAAAATATAATTATTGAGAGAATAGATTTAGTGATAGGGTGATTTCCATACGAGATATTAGGTCAAAATTGAAAAGTTATTTGGGATAGTATATTTATTGAGAAAATTGAATAATAGATATTTCAATGAAATTTTGAATACAAAGAGCATGTCAAATTGTTGAAAAAAAAAATATGTGTCCCTATATGTAAGAAAAAGGTGTTCAGGATTTTCATAAAAGAATCAAATTTATGAATCATATAACGAATTTATAAGTAATAATAATAGAGCATAGACTTGGAAAAATTACATTAGTTTTGGAGAAGTGATTTGGTTTAATGATAGCATGATCTTTTATGAAAGGGATTATTTTGTTAAAAACAGAAAAAATATATATATAGAAAGCAAAAAAAGTATCTTCATATGTTGTATATACAAACTTACTCACATGATAGATCATTAGACACTATTAAAAAGTGGTTGAGTTACAAACATTTTCAATTAAAGTAAGTTTACATCAAAAATTAATATTGTATTCAAATCTTTATACATCAGTAATGGAAATACCTGCAAAACTTATTCTAATGGAGGGGCTTTGTGAATGCTTTCCACATGAAATGGTCATAATTTTTAGAACAAAGTCAAAGGTTAGAGCAAAACAGAAATACTTGGAGGACAAAGAAAGTAGAATTAGTACACCAAATATTGTCTTAACAATATCCAATTTTAGAAAACATGATAATAACAATAATCAATCAATATTAAGAGGGTTAAATGATACTTAGGCTTGATAGATATAAATATTTTGAATGTATTAGAAAAATAATGAGCATGTTCATAAATATATTAACATCTAAAATTAACATTTTATGGTTAAATGAATAAATATGCAATAAGAGGATATATGATGGAGGTTAAACGTTAAACATCAAAAACAAAAAACAAAAATTAGGTTGAACAAGTTATAATGATCCAAGCGTCATTGATAGCTAGACGTATAAGTAACTGTTAACAAAGATGTGTGGCAAAGCTAAGGCCAATAATTAGAGAATGGTTCCATTAGAGGGAAGGTTAAGTAGCAACTAATGAGGATAAGGCAATTGAAAATAAAATTAAGTGGTATGGACATATAAAATGAAGGACAAAAAATGCACTCATATATAAAGTTAGGGTCTGTTTGGGGCAGCTGCAGCTTATCCAACTTGTGCTCATAAGCAGTTTATCCTGAGAATCTGCTGATGAACAGCTGATCCGGATAAGTTGACTGGCTGTTTGGTTTGTGCGTTTGGAAAACAGCTGATTCAAGATAAATGACCAATCTGCCCCTGTTTTGGATAGACTGTTTAGTTGTTTGGTTTGTGCGTTTTGTAAACAACTGATTTGCAGATTTCTTTTGTTAAATGAAAAAGCTGGGACACAAAAATTATAATGTCTACCCCTTAGCTATACCGGCAACAGAACATAAATGTCAGGAAGACATCTGTACCAGCAATAGAACATAAATGTCAAGAAGACATCTAAATTTTAATTTCGTCCTCCTTGCAATACAATCCAATGCCAGCACATTTATCTCAAATGCTTGCCCAACTAAAGATCAAGGGGGGACAAAGCACCCTCACAACCTCACAGCCAAAACAGAATGTAGATAGAGCCAAAACGCCAATAAAAATAATGATGCAAACCTTTAAATGTATAAACAATCACATTTACAACTGGAAAGCAGAATATGTTCACTTCTTACGCAAGAAATCATTGTCAATTTCTCATGATGGCATCCTAGTATAGCCCTAAAATCACACAAAGGAATTAAGAAAATACTAAATTAAATTGCTTAGCAAAAGTCAAAGATTATCTTCAATTTTTCTTTTGATAAATGATGCCCCTACATCCTCAAATGATGATTTCACCTTTCGTTTACCACAGATGTAAAAGAGAAAAAAATAAAAATTATGAAGATTTTCTTTCTTTAATTGAGCAATAAAAATTGATTTATATCACAAGGAATGATATGACCAATCCAGGCGATGGAGCAATCATCATGCTCACATTAGATTAGAACAGACAACCAAATATCCCCAAAAGAATAGTAGAAAATAAAAAAAAATTAAAAATAAAACAAAACAAAACAAAAATAAAAAGGAAGAGGAAGACAGCAAAAAACAACCCACTGCAGAAATACCATTAATCCATAAACTAACCTCTCTTCCGTTCACGACAGCTGATGGACAACCCTTGCACCAAATCCTTCGATGCGTACCCATCAGCGGCGATGCCGGAAGCCTCCATGCCATCAGCAAGAGAGGAGCCACTAGTAGATCCGACAAAAAGAGACAGATTCCCCATGCTAGCGCACTTCTGAATTGAGCCATCGGTTAGGCGAACACCGAAGAGCTTCACTCCTCAATTTGGACACGTGCGTGAGTTGTGCACTTTGTTGTTGCAATGAGAACACCTCCTCGTCATCTTCGCCGGCAGTTCCGCACCGCACTCACGCCACGGAGCCTCCTTGACCCGGGCCCGATCAGCTCATTAGGGTTCTTGTTAGGGTTGGGAGCAGATAGAGATGAGTAATCGGATAGGGTTTGAAAAGGGAGGAGCGACGAAGGTGGAGGAAAGGAGTCTTCGAGTTGGTGGCGATTACTGAGGAAGAGTCATGGCTTACGGGTTTGGCAAGGGTAAGGGAGTAAACGTTAGAGGCCGAACGCCGATCGCGGGGATATACCCGCGGTCTGCATGTAATAAAAATTAGGAAACATAGTTTTTAAAAACTCTCCTCAAACACACGAAACAACGCACTTATAAGTTGCCCCAAACGGGCCCTTAGTTTCAAAGTGTTAGGAAGAAGAAGTGAGTCTTAAAATAACATGGATAAAGTTCAAAAAAAATTTCAATGGATAGGTTTAACATCTCATATAGCATTCAGACAAAAATAAATAGAAAACAAAAATTCTTAAATCTAATCCAAAATATTCGTAAGAAGGATGGTGGTGACACAAATTTCCTATAAACACATCATAATCTGACATTATACATTCTGCTTCGTAAGAAGGATAATGATGACACAAATTTCTTATAAACACATCATAATGTGGCATTATACATTCTTCTCCAATAGTTCTTAGCTACGAGAAAAATAGATAGCAATATGGTAGTAACCTGGTTCGAGTAACCTGTTATGAGGAGCATTTAACATTTTGATAAAGAAAATTTGTTAAAAGTGATCATAACAGAAACAGAAGCAAACAAGCATTAAAAATTTTATTTAATAAACTACGAGGAGTAATAAGAAAAATATCCCTGTATTTCAAATATCATTAAATTTCTCCATAAATTTAAAAATTTTGACGAGCATCAGCATTCTTGAGAAAAAGATTTTTCCCATCAGTCATATTTAAGAAAAAAGATTAGCATTTTATAAATCAAACAATGGGAACTACCGAAGAAATCTTTGAAAAAGAACTGCCAATGATGCCAATGATCACCATACCAATAGTGGAATGTGAAAATTTTCACGAAAATCAAAAGGTTTATAATTAAATTTAGCTGCTAAAAATTTGCAGGGATGGATCCAGATTCAGCTTATGCAATCACTGCTTAGGAATTTGACAAGACTTTCATGTCAACAATGTTATCCTTTAAAATCAATATGCAGCCTTGAACACAAAAGAGACATCTGCAATAATGATATAGAAGTAGCTAAATTAAAATAACAAAGAATATATTTAAAATCAATATCAAGGCCTGAACACAAAAGAGACCTCTGCAATAATGATATAAGAGTGGCTAAATTAACTAACCAAGAATTTATAAGCAAGAGATGAAGGCAAATTGCACAAATGAGCAAAAACATAATGTTGAACATTTTTATGCTCTAGGATGCCATTAATGAATCAGCATACTACTCATAGATCTAAAAACATTCTGGCCACAAGTGTTTACAAAATAAAGAAAATACTAATTCTTTTGCTAATCTCGGAAAATGATGATGCAATTGCTAAACAGCTCAAACTTATGCATTCACATGAAAAACTTTTGGCATAACATCTCTTACTTTTATTTGTTGAAGGCATTCGGAATCAATGTCAATGTGATGCTGATCAACAATGTAATCCACCAACATTCCTGACATTTGCTCGTGAGACCTAAACAGAAAATATCCACTAGTAGAAGAACAATAAAGCAAATGTAATTTATATCTTTAAATAAATATAATAGAAAATTTGTACTATTTTGCAGATTAGTAGATATTGCTATTAATTCAAGCCATTAAATTACTAGAAAAAAAGTATCATGCTTTTCTAGGACCATGGAGAAACTATGTTAGGACTCGATATAAAATCTGATTCATATGTCAAATAAAAAATTGAGAATTCCAGAGATAAATTGGTGAATTAATACTATAACCCTTAATTGTAACGAAACATTAGCAGGCATAAAGAACAAGATGGTTGGTCATATAAAAAAAGGAAAAGTGCATAATTATAAGCAATTATTTATATAAAGTTTAATGAAATGAATCAGCAGAAATGAAATACCATTTTGATCCAGTACTGACTTGGGGAAGAAATTCATGCTCAAACATATGGCTGAAAGGCCCATGCCCTATATCATGCAAAAGGCCTACAAAAATAAATGAAATAGCATGATGTAACACAGACCTATTGATTGCAGTTTTCAATAACAGCTAAACAATCTGTCATATTACCAACAAATGAGATATTGAACAAAAGCTAAGGCTAATTGTGCCAACAAGGATAAGTTAAATTCATGACAACTGCTGGTACAACAATTTACCTGCAAGTTTCACTGTCTGCACATCAAAACGATCAATATCAAGCTCAGAGCCCTGTGGAGACAAAAAAAATGATATACAAGTTTGTGTTTCGGAAAGCAACAAATATAACCATGAAAAGTTGTCATACTTGGTAGGCTTGAAGATACTGCAGAGATTGTCCAGCCAGCCAATAAACTCCCAAAGAATGTTCAAATCGAGTATGCACTGCTCCTGGATAGACCATGTATGCAACACCTGATGTATGGAAAAATTTTGCTTGATATAATAATTAAGAAATAATAAAGCGGAAAAAAAAAGTTTTAAAACAATTATAATTCAAGGCAAGAATCAACGCATCCCTCAAAATAAAGCAACGCATCCCTCAAAATAAAGCTTAGAGCATTGCAATTCCTCAAATATACAGATATGGAGCTGCCAGTTTAATAGAGAGTAAATCGCCTTATTTTTTCAATTTTTTAGTAAAAACAAATTTTACACAGATATGTTCTCTACACATTAAAACAAAACTCGAACTGCACCAGAGCAGGGTGTACTCCAAATTTCAACGTATAATTGAAACTAACAAATCCTTACCGATAGTCAGCTCAGAATGGTTGAGCACAATTGAAATAACTTAACGCAGAATTTTGAGCTTCATCAATTGGAAAGGTCAATGCATAGATATGCAGAGATCATTAAATACAACTATTTTACTTCCATGTACAATCCAAGATGAAAGGCAACAGGAACCCAATGAACCTTACCAAGTTGCTTCAGATCCCGCAGCCTGCAGTTGGAAATGCAATGCAACCCTGTTATGGATAAGAAAATTATTCCAAAGTAGGCCAAAAGAAATAATCAACTATCATACATTTTAATCAATCGTCTAACCTCTGAAACTGCTCAGTGTCTATAAATTTAAGGCTCATCTGGAAGCAGGAGACAAATCACTTAATTAGAAGATATTCAAATGTGAAAACAAAATAGTAGAAAGCAAAATGGTTCTTATACTAAATATAACATAGCTGAAAAATACTGTAAGTTGGCTTAAAAGAAAAGGTCATCGCTAACAAAAAAGTAATACCTGTAAACTAACCATACTAAACCATTCTTATGAAACCGCACTAAGCAATATAAGTACAGAGAGTTTGATACTCAATATAATCAATAATTAAGGTTGGATCACAATCTCGAGTAAGTGTTAACAGATTATAACACAAGAGATATGTTTAACATGTAACCAGAATAATTACTAGAAGCAGAGAAATACAGAGAATATTAACAATTCATTCAAGTAAACCATATCTATGAAATAGTACATGTTGCATTAATTAAAAGCAAAAAGTGTACAAAGTACTAAGTAAAACCAAGCAAAAAGTAGAGGGACTCCCTCTTGTACATTTATTGTAGACAAAACAAGTATAAAGATACTGAGACCCAATAAAAAAACTCGGTTGCATCCAACAAGAGTGTTGCTCCACACAGTGATTCAACTTCCACCAAGTGATCACTCATACCTTAAGGGTTTAAGTAATGAGCATAAACATCCTAAGTCGACCAGGAGGGGGATGGGGGAAGGTGGGCAGACACTGAAATAGAGCATAAAACAGCCTCGATGGCCGGTCAATGTCCCATTGCTCCCGCATTAAGCTCGAAAAATTAAGTCTCACTACCCCACTCTTAAGAGCAAAAATTCATAGACAGGTATCCAATATTAGCGTGATAGACGTATCCTAGAAAATGTTGGAAAGTTGTCATAAGAAAGGTGCAGCGGTTGCGTCGGTGCCTAGTCAAAGGGTAATTTGGTCTTTTGTACGCCTAAGGGCAAGTTAGTTTTTTCTTATTATTATTATAGTTGGCTATAAATAGGCTATTATGTTTAGGGTTAAATTATGCATAAGATTATTGTGGTGAGTCTTAAGTTTAAGGTTTTGGAGAGATTTCCTACCTCTCAAATTGTAAAAATTGGGGGAGAGATCGCTATCCTCTCGAATTATAGGTGTTTATCCTTTACATATTTGTGTTGTATTGCTTTAATTTGGTGTTCGGGAAATGAAATTTGTGTTTACCCTAATTCTTGTGGAAAAACGTGTCGATTTCTTTATTGGATCGTATCAACTTGGTACCAGAGAGATTGATTTCTGTTAGATCAACTACAAGATCACAGCCACATTCATTTGCAAATTGCCTCACAATACATCACGTGTTGGAGATTGCTAGGAAGACTGTCGAGATCACAACATATACGAGTCGCCTTCATGACCTAACTTGCGACAATTTTGACAATCTGAGAAGAGACAATTGGATCGCAGAACAGTAACCTGAAAAGAGCTACCTAGGAAGTCTCGAGGGCATCGCGGCATACAGACCTTCGAGATCGAAGCCTTGCAATATGATCGCGTCGAAGCCTTGCGAGACGGCCACGGTTGGAGCTAGTGGGAAAGAAAAGTGGTATTGTGTTCTCCTTCATGACTGCATATTGCGAAAAAAGTCGCAATTAGAGCCAGCTGAGAAGGTCGTCTGCATATCACAACGAACAGAGAACTGAAACTCTCATCTTTATTTTGTTCCAAATTGAGAGTCCAACGGAAGCGGACCACAAATCAAATCGGAGGCATACTATCTTGTATTACATACATGATTCGGATTGTCTGGTAATCATTGACGACATTTCAACATTTGTGATCGAAAACACCCAAATGAATAAGGATAGCCAATAAAATAGATGAATTGGAGAAGAAATTAGAGAAATAGATGAGTCAACTTAAATCCAGGATGGAAGAAAAATTTGCCGCCATAGAGAATAGGTTTTTATGGATGGAAAACCGATTTGAGGGCTGATTTGAGAGTTTGAAAAAGATGCTGAGGAAGCTTATTGAGATGTAATTGAAGACCCCTTATTTTGTTTGTAAACCCTAACCAATGGTTAACCGGAGATTCATGAATTAAATCAAAATGAGAAGAGATTAGACGAGAGGAACACAAGGAGGACAGTGTCCACCATCAAGAACCTCCTCCTGGGACTCCGATGGGGAATGTATTAGAGATTTCAAATGGAGGTGATTGGGCAAAAACATTGAAAATGGGTTATGTAAGAGGTATAGAGGAGCACGAAAAATGAAATGAGAGAAGCGGGAGTGGGACATGGTTATGATCAAATGTGAGAGTTATCCTCTCAATACATGGGGGGAAACAACGGAGTGAGAAGAAGTTGGGGTGGAGATGCTAGGGTTAGGAAGTTAAAGATGTCTATCTTCGAGGGGAAGATGCACAGGGGTGGGTGTATTGGGTAGAACGATGCTTTGAGGTGCATGGGCTAACTGGGGAAGAGAAGCTCATGATGGAAGGGTTATGATCGAAGGGGAAAGCCCTCGCATGGTTTCAATGAAGGGAGAAGAAGCTCATGGCGGTAGGGTTACGTTTGGACGAGAAAGCCCTAGCATGGTTTCAATGGAGAGAGGCTAGATACCCGATCCATTCGTGGGAAAAATTTAAGGATTGTTGGAACTTTTCTGAGCCATTCAAGAATGAAACTTAGGCTTCGTTTGAGAGAGTAATGTGCCTCCGTTCCGTTCCAGAAAATGCAGAGAGAACGCCCATCGTTCATTTCGTCGTTCGACTTCTTCAAAAATGCTTCTACACGAATGACACTAATCTCCATTTTTGGATCGTGATATAGGAGCTCTGTTACGCTATTTAGGGAGCGTTCCACTGTTTTGGAAAAAAGTTTTGGAAAAAAAACTATTTCAGGAAAAAAAACTATTTCAAAAAAAAAAAAAACTACTCCCAAATACTCTTAAACGGCAAGGATGACAACTTTAACCAGCGAGAATGACGGAGGAGAAGAAAGCTATTGGGGTCATTTATGAGAGAAGTCTCCACGTGAGCAAAAAAGATAGAAGAAACCAATGGGATGAAAGCAAACTGTAGGAGAGCTTTGCATGAGTAGTTTCCAATGGAGAAGAAAGTCGGTGAAGATCTATGTCTAGAGCGTAAAAAATTAAGTTTGATGAAGAAGATTATATAGTGGGCAAAAAGTTCCACCATGCAGTACAATAGAATTATGTTTTTTTTTTCAACATCACATCATAATATTTATTATTTTAAGAATTAATACGATAGTTAAGTTTTTAAAATTAAATCTCTTCAAAATCTGAAATAATATGTTTGTTGGATATGCCTATAACTATTAAATTATGTGTTAAAAAGCACACAATCTTTTATCCAAACATTAGGATCATTTTAAGGACCACAATTTTATACCATCATCTATAGTTAAGTTGCTTTTAAAGGAGCTTTATAAAAGGAGAAGTACTTTCGAACAAAACCCTACAAGAACAATTCTATGCCTTGAATTAGGAGATGACTGTCATAAAATATAGGGAGAGATTCAAGCAATTTTCGAGATGGCTGAGGGGATTTCTGAAGCAAGACTAGAGAGGAATTTCATGAAAGGCCTAAAGCCCAACATACGAGCATCACTGTGATTATTGAGACTGCGGGTATTGAGGGAGACGATGGAGTTAGACAAAATGATGGAGGACAAATAATAGATGCAGAAGGCCAGTAGGAGCAGCAAAGATGGAGCATTGTACTGAACTGCTACAACTACGATGGCACCAAAAGCTCAAACAGTGAAAGTCCAAAGGAGGTTGCACGAGACAGAAATAATGGACCACGATATAAAGCAGCACTCAAGCGTCTTATAGTTGGGTGAAGCGAGCCAAGGGGTTATGTTTTCGGTGTGATGAGAAGTTTACCCCAATACACCGCTGCAATGATAAAAAATTACAAGTTCTTACAGTGCATGACGAGGAGATAAAGGATGAAGAAATAGAGAAAGTTGTGTTGGAGAAGGAATAGACTCACTTTTTTTCACCTTGAGGACAAGGTATCTTTTATGGGGAATATAGTTATTCTGGTGCCTAGCCTATGGGTAATTTGGTCATTTGTATGCCTAAGGGCCCGTTAATCTTTTAATATTATTATACTTGGGTATAAATAAGCTTATTATGTTTAGGGTTTGGTTATGCATGAGATTATTATGGTGAGTCTTAGGTTTAAGGTTTCAAAAAGATTTCCTCCCTCTCGAATTGTAGGAATGGAGAGCAATCACCTACCTTCGAATTATAGAAGTTTATAATTTACGTATTTGTGTTGTATTGCTTTGATTTGGTGTTCGAAAAATAAAATTTGAGTTCGCCCTAATTTCTGTAAAAAAAATGTGTTGATTTCTGCATCGGATCGTATCGGTAGCATGTAAAGTGAAACAAATTACAGTCAAAAGATAAAACTAGAATGTGTAAGATTCACGTTAGAAATGTTGAGAGAATAGCTTCTGATGCGGAGAGAAATACAAAATTGCTTGTTATCAATTTATATTCAAGTGCACCAATACATAACATGATTGATAAGAACTTCGACGGTGTATTTACTCATGCGAATTCTGATTCAAATTGTCCTCCTAGTAAAGAAACAGAAATAAAAGAAATAAGGTAAGTATACAACAACAATAAAACCTATTCAAATTGTCTTCCTATTTTGGAAGGAATTAGAAAATGGAGATAATCATTTTGAACTTCTCCTGAAACAAAAGTCAAGAGTGATGTATTTCACTTTAGAGTGAGAGACTAAATTACACATAGGTATGTGGCTCCAATATTGTCATAGTAGATCATTACTAGGTGGTAGATGAATAATAAGCTGATGAAGTATAAACTACCTAGATGATATTAATAGTGAGAGAAGAAACATGGGTATTCAGACTCCAATAAAACGCAAGCTATTGTTTGTTCTTTGAGATAGGATTGCAGCTGAGGAACATTTGATGATGTTCGATTGATAATTGTCCCAACCAAATAAGTGTCAAAAAATCCATAAAGTGAAAGCGAGAAATGAAAGCAGAGAAAAAGAAAAGGTCATGATGTAT